AAAGAGAGAGAATGCTCCAGTGGCGAGCAGTGCTTCAGTGGGGGCGTGGCGGAACCATTCAGAGCTGGAACACCCCCAACCCCAACATTGACCCCTACGATTCATTGGTATGTTCCAGTTTAGGAAAGGAGAAGAAGAAGAACCAACAAGTCTCCAGCGGCAGCGAATAAGACTCAGGAGATAGAAACCGAAACATACACATAAAATACTGATCAACTTTAGCTGCTCCTGCGGGCCTCATCATTTCTACGAGAGAGAACATGAAAAAAAAGAAACCAACACAACCGAAGGAAATGAAAGATAGAAAACACAAGAAGAGAAAACATTGTTTTCTGCTGATATTCAAGATTTCAAGGAGCTATATATGTTTTGTATCGCAACATAGCTAACGTTAGCAACAACAGCTGTTCACCGACTAGTTTAGAAGAGTTCAGCATCAAACTTCATTCCTTTGCTCACAAACAGCTGTGTCCAGAGGTGGAAAGTGACCCTCTTGTTTAGCTTTTATCTATCCTTCTTTTCTTCTATTGAAGTTAGCATGCTAACCAACTAGCTCCATCATTTTCCGATACCAAGTCACTGTAGCGTCCAGTTGTCCTGAAGAAGTAGCTTCTCAAAGGACGCATTATAACCTCTTGTATTATAAACACAACGATGACTGAAGCTTTTGGTGAGACTGGTTAGTAAATGGCTGTTAATGCTAATGTTAGCTGTATAGCAGTAGCAAAGCTTACAAATAACTCCTTTAAACTAGCTGACAGACATAACACACTAATGTTTGTACTCACCACAGCTGTGTCCAGAGGTGGAAACAAACCCTCTTGTTTTGCTTCTATTTCTATCAGTTCTTTCTTCCACTGAAGTTAGCATGCTAACCAGCTAGCTCTAATCCAGTCATACCCTCTCATCATTTTCTGACACCAAGTCACTGTAGCATCCAGTCTGTCCTGAAGAAGTAGCTGCTCAGAGGACGTGTTATAACTTCTTGTATTATAAACGAAACGATGGCTTCTGACAAGGCTGGGATAGCTGTTGATGCTATCGTTAGCCATGTAGCAATAGCAAAACTTACAAAGAGCTCCTTTAAAAATTCTCTTTAGAAATGTGATGTCTTTTTTGACGCCTCTGTGTCCTTGTGGCTGCAGAGCCCTCGGTCCTGCGGGGGCGCATTGTGTGGTCACACAGACTCGGTGTGGGGCGTGGTCTACAGCTCGGCACATCACCGCCTCCTCTCCTGCTCGGCCGACGGGACAGTCCGGCTGTGGAACGCCGCCGACACCTCGCCGTCTCTCGCCGTTTTCAACGAGAGAGGAGGTGAGAGACCCGCCTGATTTAACCCTGATGATCCTCTAGCGCCACCAATAGGTCAAAATGTAGACTGTCCAGCACTTCCTGTCATGACCAATGATTATTTCACTTATTGATTCATCTGTTGTTTGTTGTTGTTGTAACATAAAAACTAACGAGTCATTTTTAAAATTAACATTAACATTTCCTAAAGTCCAGGTTCAAATATTTAAATGTCTTTACGTGGTCACGACTCAAAGATATTTAGTTTATGATCAAATCTGAGGAAACTGAAGTTCAAAAAACATCATTGTTACTGATTGATTTCCAGTCAGTTGATTCATTGATTCATTGACTGATTGTTTCTGCTCAAACTACTTTTCTCTGCCATTACATGTCTGTGACATTACACGCTAAATGTTAACTTGCTTACATTTAGCATGCTAGCTAGTTCAAAAGAAGAAAAACACTGAATATATATGCTAAGTGTGCTAACATGCTAACCGTGTTATAAGAGTCTGTTGGTCAGGTATTTAAATCATCATGTAGATTCTCAGACCAAGTGACACACACACATACACACACACACACACACACACACACACACACACACACACACACACTCGTCCTGATGCGTCTCTGCTGTGTGTCCCTGTCAGAGCTCGGGGTGCCGACCTCAGTGGACCTGGTGAGCAGCGAGCCAGCTCACATGGTGACGTCGTTCACCACCGGACACATCGGACTCTTCAACATGGAGACGCAGCAGCTCGTCCTGAAGCTGGACTCTGCCGGACCGCCAGGTAACTGACCGACCAATCACAGACACGGACAGACTGGTTCCTGTCTGATACACACTGAGGCCGAGTCACATGATCAGACCACAGAGCGACACAAGCGTCAGACTCTGATTCAGATTCAACATGTCGTTTAAAGTCTCAGTAATTTACTGAAACAGCTGCTCCTGTAGATTTTATCAGCATTTGTTGGGGACTATTTTCAGTGGCGGATTAACCCATGTTTGGTTCTGTAGTGCAGCTGCTGTCAGACTGATGAAGACTGTAGCTGTTAATGTGTCTGCCCCCCC